CTTTTTAACCATCTTTCAAGATTTGGTTCTTCGTGTCTACTATGTTGGTCTCGGCCCGATGGCAGTAGATTTGTAGCGCAGTCATTAGTGGACTATGATTTATGAAAAGGGAAAATTTACCTTTGGACCAGAGTATGATGAAAGTCTATTCAGATATTCTAGTGTTGTAGTAGGCTTATTAGTAGTCTGAATAAACAATCAACAAAGTTTGTTTCCATGCAAGCGTTAATTACATTTTTTATTGCATAATTCTAATTTAGGAGTATAATTAGAAAAATAAACAAATTTTGTTTCCAATTTCCGTATAAACCAAATATGAGAAAGAAAATAAAATGATTTCTACAAAAACATAATCTTCCATCTCCTTTCCAGTAAAAAAAGATATATAGATTGATTTTCAATCAACTTCTTTCCGTCTACAAAAACGGGTGAAATTACTTGAGAAATGCTAATTTTTGAACATATTAAATGCATAAATTTATGCGTTAGTGGAATACACGTGACACAAAATGAATAGGAAGGCAAGAAAAGGAATGAAAAAGGGAATATAGTTAGCACTCCAGTTAGAGCATCTGCAATTGGCTCATCAAACCAACTCCTTAGACAAATTTTAGGAGGAATTGAAAAAATACAACTCCAACCACTTCTTATCCACCTCCTAAAATAAAGAGACTTCTAGTGTAGGAACTCCTAAATCTGAAAAGAGAAAAATGACTCTTAGCGGCTCCCAGTTTGGGATTGCTATCACTTTTTAAAAAAAAAGTTGCTTATATTGTACTTTGAAAATAATTAGTTATAAAGTAAAGCAACTCCATGTTTGGTAAACAATACCTTTAAAGGGTTAGTACAAAAAACAATGTCAAAACCATTTGGTAAATTTTAATATAAAACTATTATAATTGTAAATAATGACTAAAATAGACATTATATTGAAAGTGTTATGGGCTAATCATGTAATGGTAGTGGTGGTGGTGGTAGGGACGTCAGTTGTGGAGATGGAGGTAGTGGAGTTAGATGTGGAGGTGGTGTCATTTTTAAAAATTAATGATGGTATTTTGGGAATTAAAAAAATTCATTAAAGGCTCATCTCTATTTCTTTTGAAAGCAGCTTTGAAAAACAACCTATAACCTACTTTTAAAAGTTGTTGTCAAAAGATCATTGCTTTTAAAATAATCGTGACATTTATTTTTTACAAAACACCTTAAATTGTGTAACTTCAAAATTAAGCATATTTTTTGGCCAAAAAATAAAACAATTGGGACCTTAATGATACTTTGTTTTATAAATATTTTAATTTTTTTTATTAATGTTAACTAGTTTTAAATTATTTTTTTTTTATAAAGATGGACCAATTATATTGAATTTAAAAATAATTATAGTATTTATAATTCTTTAAACTAAGAAGTGTGATTGAAGTTTAAATTTTTTTTTTTAAAAAACCCCTAAAAATATTTATGTGTGTTTTTAACTAAATTTTAATTAAAAAATAAAGAGCATAATACTATGGGTAGTGCTAGCAACATTCTCTCTAACCTTCTCTTTTGGACATTCTCTCTTCTTATATCTGAGTGAAAATTGAGTTGGTGAGTTGTGCCTTTTGTGTTGAGTGGCCCAAAAACGAACCCTAGACGAGCTGATGGTTGGAGCTGGGTAGGCAACCAGGGAAATGCTTGATGTTGTGGGGAGGGTTGCTAAATCTACATCTAAGGTTTTTTAGGTTTTAGACATAAATTTTTTTTCACTTTTGGAAAAAGCCAAAGCTTTTTCAAAAAAGACAAAAAAACCACTCAACTTTCAAATCAAAGACATGCAAATGTATTGGATTCCTTAGGAAATCTAAAAATAAATAAGGGCATTTTTGTCCATTTTTGCTTCTTTTAAAATTTCTCTCCTTTTACTTTTTCCAAAATGTCCCTTTTTTTTTACAACTTTCTTACCACCTTGTTAACAAAATTAAATAAGAAAATAAAAACTAAAGTTTTTTTTTTCCCCAAAGAGAATGTGTGTTTTGTTAAAATCAAAATAAAGATGATAACATCTTGAAACAAACTTTATTTAAACATATATATATGACGTTTTTCTTTTTTTATTTATTATTATTTAATTTTTAATAATGTGCTAAAGAAGTTGTAACAAAATTTGAATAAATTGAAGAAAATATAAAAAGCCAATACATTTTAAAATGGTAAACTTGAAAAACCAAAACTAACGTTTGTGATACATTAATGACATTGTTTTAAATGTAAGGAAAATGACACTTGTCATGAGGAGAAGAGAGAAAGTCTAAAAGAAAAAGTTAGAGAAAAAGTTGCTAGCATTCCTCTAATACTATTGCTGTTGGATATAAGTATGAAAAGACAAGCTTGATTGATGAGTTCTTAAAGGGACAAGAAGCTATCTTTGACTTCACTTCTTTCAAAGCTCCACCAACAATAAAATAAGCTATAATAATTATCCCTAGTGCAAGTCCAAGAAAGCTGCACCATCCTCCTTTCCACCTACTCCATACAAAGCTTGACAGCCAACACCCCACTCCCTACCACCCGATGGTCCCATGGCACATCTCTCAAACCTTTGACCCTTGAAATGCTCTTACAAAACGAGCATTGATTGGCACCGTTGTCCTCTCCAAATCCCAAAATAAAAGAAAATATAAGAAGACAGTTGGACGCGCACAAAATTGAGAAAATTTTATGTTACTTATTAAGCAAAGGAAATAATAGAAAAATTGTCCTTTACCTGTTTCGCTTAATAAAAGAAAAAAAATGTATTATAAAGGTGACACCCATAATCTCATAAGCCTTTTGTATTATACATGTGGTTATGTGATTCTGTGCGGCCCTGCCCATTTTTGGACAATCACCAATGCCTGCCTTGCTGAGAACCACTTCCTCCTCCACCTTTGTTCTTTGCAATGAAAGAATTCTTTGGTTTTGGTATCTCATGGATGTCCATTACTTGAATTGTTCTCTGCTTTTTGGCTTCACAAAAAACAGCACAAGCACATTCCAATCAGCACAAATTAATCAACAAAAGCTAACAATAAACCAAGAAGTTGAAAGTTATGAAGCAAACCATTTTCAGCTTCTTTGTAATTCGCCTGAAGTCGTTTTCTTGCAGAAGCCAATCTATCATTGTCAAAATTGCTTTCCTTCTGTTCTCTCTGTCTCTGCAAAACCAATTGAGTGACAAAGAAGAATTCAGTGGAAATAATTTACTTCGACTTACGGTTTTACGAATTCACGTTGTGATGCAGTACTGAGATAACTTACACTTGCACTCAACTAAGCTATAAACAGAATTAATTGGCTTAGTTGAGTTCAGTTTCTTATATTTTGGAAGCATAAGCTTCAAAATTTATATTATCTCCCTCCAATTTTCAGCAACCAAACATAGAATTTGGTATCCGTACATTTTGAGGAGCAGAAGCAGACATAGGGATTGATTGTGCTGGTTTTGGTGGAGCTTCTCTCCTAGGAACTGCCTTTGGCTTGCGTTCTGGTTCTGAATTGTTCTTATCTGACCCAGAACTCCCATCTGTGTGAACAATAATAATAACATCAAATTAAAAACAATAAACAGGCCCGCATTAATTAAACTCTAGACGAGTAAATTTTCAGATAAGCTGAAATGGAAGTCTGGAATCTGATTCTATACTTACTGTGAGGATTTGGAGAGTATGCAAAATCAGGAACCTGAAAAACAGAAAGAACAGAATATTAGAAAGCAAGAATAAAAGACAGAATTTTCCACAACTTTACCATAAACAAAGATTTCTTTGACCTGGTGAAGACCATTTTGGGGAATTTTCTGCTGGGGCGAGTCTTCATCAACTGCCAATAACATATGTTGGCATTCACAGTCAGTCGGGTATGATTCCCATTTCTGAACATCATTTTAATTTTTTTCCGAGAGAAGAAATTAAATTAATTAGGAAGGAATAAGGATCTTAATTTTACCCATGGCCGATGAAGATGGCAGTTCTCCATGTAACTTCACCCATTCATCCACAATACCTTTCCATTTCCTGTAAAACAACAACCAAATGAAACAGAATCTTCTTTTTTTCTCACTGTCCAAGGTCAAGAATTCCACAACCAAGAAGTCAACAGCAATACAACATGTTCATACCTGACAACTTGCTTTGCCAATCTCCTAACAACATCACTTGGATGCTGCTTCCGCAATAGACTCACATGCCTTCCAATATCAGCCTCCTGGAAATGCCAAACAACAACTAAAAAATCACAAATTTGATGGAAGTTTGTTTTCTCTTTATTAACTGAGGAGGGGGATTTGAAATTGGAACCTCTTCCAACATCAGAAAAGGAAAAAGATAATACCACAAATCAAGAGATCGTTGGTGCAAGAAGTTTGTTTCTGTTTGTGAAAACAAATATAAGAGCCTCATAAATACCTTGAGTTCTTGGAATGATATTTCCATATCTGCTAGACTTTGAAGCAACTCAACCAAAGAATCCTCAGACTGACACGAACAAAGTTGCACAAACATCAATATAAAAGAAACGAAGAAAAACAAGACACAACCTAACCAAAAAAGGAACTCAATTGAAGATTGACAGAAAAAGAAATTCACCTGATGTGGATCCTCAAGCTGCTTCTTGATTTCTAGAATGTTCTTCTGCTCATCATCGAACAACCCTCCGTATGGATCCAACCCCTCCTTGTCCTCCTCCTCATCGTCATCTCTATCAACGAACTGCGGCGTGTACGGTGAAACTCCTTTAGGTTGGTTCCCATTGGGCCCATCAGTATCACAGTTCGGGCACCGAGGCGGCATGCAAGTTGTGGCGTAGAGGCGCTCAACAATGCCATCCCTCCGGTGCTTGAGCTCAGTGCCATAATCAACCGAAGCTACCACAATGGCGGTGTCAATGAACGTCCACACATCCACACCCGAGGTTTCTAAGATGGTCCGCAAGTCGTCATGGTCCATGGCGTCCGCCTTGCAGTCAAATACAAACGCTGTCGTTCCGATGATGGATTGTTCTCAGATCCTGAGATTGCATCACCGGATCATGAATGCAATTATAAAAGCCCAAGCCTCCTCAACAAAGTAGAGTTAGAAAGGCACAGATCTGTCTCAGAGTTGCAGATTCACCAGTCCAAGCTCCAAAAAGGAATTCCCAGGCAGAAAGACTGAGAAAAATATCAAGTTTTCCAAGCAAATATTAGAGAAAACTGAATTGGATTTCTGGGGTTGCGGGGAATTCCTTGATTCTTTTCTTCACTGCCCAACTAATTAGATATCCGTTGAATTTGTTGGACAATCGGAGATGTTATGGGCATATTCTAGAAGAACCCTAAACACTGGCTGAAAAACTCCATATTCTTCCCTCTTTCAAATCCTGCCGAGCAATGTTCAATCCGAAGTTCTTTCACTTTACCTCGTTCACAAACTGCTGAAAGAAAAAGAAAAAACAAGCAAGACTAGATTTTAGCCCGAAAAAGAGATAAATTCATAAACCAGAAAATCCATTTTTACAGAGCATCCTAGTTCATGTAGTGCTACAGAAAAAAGTGCATGCAGAGCAGCCAAAAGAAAAAAGCTTACTGAACTAATGAGCAAGCCAAAAGAATAAATCATCCAATTAATAGAGATCAATATGACAAATCCTAAAACCTTCCAAATTTAAAAAAAAAAAAATTTGGCAACACACAAATTAACAATACTCCAAACAATCCATCAGTGACCTTGAACAATGTTTAAACAGAATTAAATTATTGAGAAAACGCCTATATTTGAACAAACCTCTAATTTAGAAACAACAAAAGGATTAAAACCCTAATCCTGCATTCAGAGAAATTTAAAACAAACAATAGATTGATGAGAGGGAAAATAATACAAGTTTATGCGAAAAGTCAGAGAAGGTAAGAAGAAAATCAAAGAATTAGGCAGAAGCCCGATTAAACAGAGAGGCAATCAGATCTCACCGAAGAAAGAGAAGGAGACATACCAGAGAGAACGAACGAAGAGGATGCACGGAGGAGGCTGGAGGAGGATGTTGCTCTGGAGCTCTGGTCTGGGGGTTGTCTTTACTTCTGTTTTGTGGGGTATTTTTATTTTACAAAACAATTAAATGACGCGAATTTTCTACGGTACGATGCGAATTGCGAACCCACTTTTGGCCTTTGGATCAACTAATTCAATCCAAAGGTCGTCAATAAGTCTTAAGAATAAAAATAAAATAAAACAGACCCAAACATGGCAAAACCAGTCCCTATGTTATATCAAAAAATTCCGGGAAAAGTATCAAAATTTTCCGAGAAAAGTTTCCTGTGGTTGTGGGGGAAATCGTTGATTCCTTCTTTCACTGCCCAATTAAATTATACATGCGTTGAATTTTCTTTGGACAATTGGAAAAAGTGAAGGGTATTATTCCAAATTCCAAAACAAAGTTGGGTTTATTTTTTTAAAGTTATATATTTTGGTTTTTAAGTCTTTACGAAGCACACACACAAAGCAAGCACATTGGTTTGGTTAGGTTTTGGTGCTTCGGATATTGTTGGGGCTTTTGGTCATTGGATTGCTGTCTCATAAATAAGGAGGTTATTTGTTTGTTGTGGTATGGGAGATGAACGGAGAGAGAGAGAGAGAGAGAGAGTGTCAATCATAATGAGTGAGGTTACTTTATTTTAGAGCGTGATGCGTAAATCATTGGTGGGAATATTGAGTGCGTGTTGTGGGTGGGTTAAGGGAATGGATGCGTCGTATATCCGGCTTGGATTTGCTTCCTCACGAGAAAGAAATTATGACTATCATCCGGACGAATAAATTGGATTTGCAAACGCAACCATCACCCGAATCCAATACTCTATCATCATGTTAAGTTATCCAATCAAATATAGTTGTGTGACGATGATGAATCGGACCTTTTTTTTTTGTAAGGATAAAATTTCTCAAAGAAAATTGATTAATTTCGTTATTGTATATTCAGAATTTCATATTTCAAAACCTATATGATGCATGACGCTTCAGTTTGCATATCAAATAATTGCACCATCTAAACCAACGTTTGGCTAACATTTGTACGTTTATCTTAAGCAATACATGAATGTATGTATGTACGATGTTATATACGAATTGATGTGATGTACACAATGCAAACTTCTTACTTAAATAGACATCGGATATACCAGTTTAGTCGAACAGTTGCAATTCAAATGTAAAGGAAATGTCTGAATTCGAAAGTTGTAATAATATGAAATTAATTGGGTCACACAACTCAAAGACCCAACCCATTGTCTTTAATAAAATAAATGTTAATTAATTAATCATTTAGCCCAAAACCAAGTCAATGCCTGTTGGAAACAGAGAATAAGCAAGTTTTGGGACAAGTTATCTAATAGAATTGAAATAACTGTGACAGGACTCGATCCAAATTTCACTTTAGAATTTGCGCCGAACCATGTGCGTGTCCGACACCGGACAGGTGCCGAGCATACTTGACCAAATTGCCCTTCTAACGAAATCCACAGCTTCTTTAGGTTTTGATTTTTGCAGAAAATTTGGCAAAGTCTCCCCTGTAAATTACTCATTTCCCAAACTTTTTCACCAGTACAACAAGCAATTTAAATATCCATAACCGTTCAACATGCACAAAAATAGAATTCAGGCAACCAAACATCAAATCCATATGGCATCAGGCTTCTTTAAATCAAATAAATCGTTACCCCAACTGAAATCGATCCCAACTCTTAGAGCAACATAATACGTTAACAGATTTCAGAACAACTTAACTGAACAGCTTTTCAATCATTTGGTCTCGTGGCTGCACCTAGCAACTCTAGGTTGCCTACGTACCCTTAACAAGGGATCAAGCCACACGTAGTTCTTCCTCTTTGTTTTATTGACCAGTTATGTACTCGACTTTTATGTTTACCACCTGTTTTGCAAAATCAATTATGAAAAGAAATTAAAAAGGGAAAGAAAACAATGAGAGGAGAATACTTTCAAATTGGAAAAGAAACACAAGGAGAACAAAACGGGTATATAAAATCAAGTAACGACATAGTAAAATAAAACTTCACTTAAGAAAATAATTGTGAATTTTACAAAATCCTTAATACTTAGAAAATTCTTAATCCTTGTCTCTTAAGTAGGAAAACATATAACAAAACCTTCGGCCATAAATACCAAGATAAAATCCTCAATATTTAGTTTAAAACATCTCAAAACTTAAATACTCTCCACGTAGGCACACCCCCATTCATGATTCGTCAATTCCTCAAATTTTCCGTCAATTTCAATAATATACCATCAATTCCTCACAAGCCTTGGAAATACGAAGTCAACCCAAGCCACATTCCTCGCAGGCCTCGGAGACACAAAGTCAACCCGAGTCACAATCCTCGCAGAACTCGAGGGACATCTAATGAGCCCAAGAACGCACATCCTCGCACCACACGGTTCAGGCGTCCCTGAAACTGGTGGGCATTATGGTAAATGACAAAACTGTTTCAAAGGCAACTAGGGGAGGGTACTCTTGTGGTGGATTTGAAAACTATATTCTGAAACTTATCATAAACTTTACCTTATTCCATAAATCCATTTTCCAGAGAGTGCAACCTCAAAACACAGAAAAACTTTCTTGGGGAAAGCAATCTGTCGAATAATGCAATGACACGTAGAAAAATTATCTCGTGTGTCATTGCGCTATTGATTGAAAATAGTAAAAATAGTTCTATTCCTGTTGCATGAAAGTCTCTCTCCTAAAAACACTAACTTTTGAAAAATACTGAGTGTATATATATATATATATATATTTATATTTATATATTAAATATAAGCATATAATAAAACATTTAATTAATTTATCTTCCATATCAAAATCTAGTTAATAAGCTGTTCCCAACTTTACACAACCAAACATAGTATAATACCCTTAGAAAATAAATACGATTACCTAATAACTCATAAACATTTGAATAATCCAATATTACCCAGTCATATACTTTAATAATACCCATAAACTTCGAATATCAAGATATAACATAAACTCATAATCCAAACATAGACAAAATAGTCCACAAACAGTCAAGCTTCGTTTACACAGTTGCCTAACACTTCTCAAAGCTGAAACTACCTCGGAAGACTCACGGTCAACATAAGGTCAAACTTTCTAAATTGGGTCAACTGGGCCCGCGCAGCCCATGACCTCCCATTTCTGATCCGGGAGTTTCCACGGGTTCAACAAGGTTTACTATACTTATTCTGCAAGTTTGGTCCAAATCGAACTGTCAGATCTCTAACGATCGCACAATAACCGTCCGATCGCATGATTGGACGGTTATCGTTTAATGCAAACTTTAAGTTATTGAATGGGAACATCCGGAGCTCCAATTCACGATTTGCTAAATCCTACACGATCCTAGGGAAGTCTAGATCAACACATATTGGAATGGAGTCGATCTAACGGTACAAACATATCGAACTCGGACAATGCCTACTGTGCAATATTTGATTGACGATCAAACGATAACCAAATTCAAATTTGAGCATACCATCGTACTCGGGACGACGTGGGGATCATTTGAGGACTTAAAGACAGGCCACCAAGTGGCCCACGCGCAGCCCCATACGCTGCCAGAGAGTGGGTGTCCAAAGCAATTTTCGGCGATCGAAAAAGCTTCAAACCGCCGGCCAAGGCCTATATAGCACACTGAGTGGAGCAACTTTTGTTCTTGGGCCTACCTAAAAAGTCGACGGAAGTGGCCGGAATTGGGGGCTAAAACTTCCATCGCTTATTTAACCACAAAAACGCAGTAATTAAAACTAAACAACACAACCAACATCTAGAACACCTCGAGAGGATGAGAAAGCATACCTGGATCGCACGATTTGGTTGTAGGAAGTGTTTAAACGAGTTTGAGAAAAAAATGAGTGGATTCGGTCGGATTTTTGCAAAAGTCGGCGACCTAGGTTCACGGTGGAGGTAGAGAGGGAGGAGGAGAGGAAGAGAGGGAGAGAGAGAGAGAGAGAGAGAGAGAGAGTGTGTGTGTGTGTGTGTGTGTGCGTGTGTGTGGTTTTTTAAAAGAAAAATCCCTTTTTTGAAATAATTACGATTTTGCCACTAGACTATTTTTTATCGTAACTTCTTTGTTACAACTTTGAATTCTTTCCCAAACAAAAAGTCAACTTTTAAACCATTAAAATATTCCCGGGGTAAAATCGTCTTTTACTTAAATAAATTAATAATTAAATATTAATTTAGGATCGGGTTATTACAACTGAGTTGGCTACTAAATAGCCTTACAAGAAACTTGAAAACAGAAGTAAAAGCAACCCACGTCAAACGGACTCTAAGGACGTGGTTATTGGCTAAAGAATAGGTCAACAAAAACAAACACTCCCTAAACAATAGGGATTATTAACAAAGTAGTAATCCACTGCCAACACCACGTTTAGAAATAAGAAAAACTAATAACTTTAACATTCTCCCTTAAACTAATTGCTACTTAGCAATTAGTTTATATATGGTTCTGGACATACTCCCAACAATCCACGCAACTTCAAAAATGCATCTAGTCTTAATAGCTTAGTCATCACATTTGCTACTTGATCTTGTGTACCACAATGAACCATCTCTACAATGCCTGCTTTGGTGAGCTCAAGGAGAAAATGAAAGCAAACGTCTATGTGTTTGCTGCACCCATGCATCACTGGATTTTTTGACAGCTTAAGTGATGAATTGTTATCACAGTAAACAATAGTAGACTTACTTTGAATATGACTTAGTTTTTCTAGAATTCTTCTTAGCCATAGTGCTTCACAAGCACAAGAGGCTGCTGCAATAAACTCAGCTTCAGTGGTGGATAAAGTCACTATTGGTTGCTTCCTTGAAGACCACGACACTGCCCCTGAACTCATTTTAAAAACATACTCTAAGGTGTTCTTCCTGTCTTCTAAATCCCCAGCATAGTCGCTGTCCTTGTAGGCTGTTAGTTACTCTTCTTCTCCATTTTTGTAAAACACACCATAGTCTGCAGTTACTTTCAAATACCTTAAGACCCTTTTAGCAGCCTGCAAGTGAAGCTCAGAAGGATTTGTCATGTACCAACTGATAAGATTCACTGCAAACATCACATATGGCCGAGTAGTAGTTAAATACATTAAACTTCCCACAACTTGTTTATAAAAGGTGATGTCAACCTTCACTCCATCTTCATCTTCTGAAAACTTATAACCAGGAACAATGGGATTATGGACTGGCTTGCTTCTGTCCATTTCAAACCTCTTCAATACCTCCAGTGCATACTTCTTTTGATTAATAAATATTCCATCCGCCCTTTGCATCACCTCAATACCAAGAAAAAATCTCATCTTCCCAAGGTCAGTCATGTCAAATTCACGCATCATAGAATTTTTAAACTGACAAACATAGACTCATCATTCCCTGTGAATATAAGATCATCAACATAAAGACTTATAATCATAATTTTACCTCATGCCTTGTTTTTGATGAACAAGGTATGTTCACAATGACATCTATCAAATCCCCCCTTCGCAAAATAAGACTTATATGACTATACCAAGCTCGTGGAGCTTGTTTAAGTCATTATAAGGCTCCTTCCTTCATCTTCTCATGACCCTTTTGCTGTTGTTTCTTCATCTTTAAAAAAATCTTCTCCACTCACATAATCTCTCATCCAAATTGGAGGTACCCTGTGTCTTCCTTCATCGGAGCTTGGTGAGTTTTCTTCAATTAAATCACCTGAAGAAGAATTCTTTGTTCTTTCATCTGTAAGATCTGCACCACTTTCTTCTTCATTATTATCAATTTTAGCTGCTATGTCTTCTCTATCACCCCATTCCAAGTCAGCAATAATTTTCTCTTCATGACTCTTCTCCTAATCCCAGCTCTTATCTACATCAAACACAACGTCTATGCTCACTATGATTCTTTGAGACATTGGATCATATAGCATATACGCCTTTGAATTTTTACCAAGTAAAACACAACTCATGCTTTTGTCATCCCAGCTTTTTTCTTTTAATATTAGAAACATGAACATGATAAATACATCCAAAAACTTTAAAATACTCAATTGAAGGTTTGACTCCACTCCATGCTTCTTCTAGAGTCTTATCTTTTACTGCAAAAGTTGGACTCCGATTCAGAATGTGTACAGCCCAATTGACTGCTTCTTACTAAAATGTCTTTGGCATCTTCTTTTTTGAGAGCATGCTATGAACTATATTCATAATGGTTCTGTTCTTTATTTCCGCAACTCCATTCTGTTGTTAAGTATACGCAGCCGTCAATTGTCTAAGTTTGCCATTATCACGACAAAAATTTGTGAACTTGTTTGATGTGAATTCTCCTCCACGATCAGTGTGTAGACTAATTATGTTTGAACCTATCGCTTTCTCAACTAAACTCTTAACATTTTGAAAGTAACAAAAGCTTCTGACTTTTCAATTAAGAAGTAGACCCAAGTGTTGCGACTAAAATCATCAATAAATATAATCAAATACCTCTTCTTGCTGTTTAAAGTAGGTTTAATTGGTCCGCAAATATCAGCATGCACCAGTTGAAGAATATGAGAAGTTCTCCATGTGCTTTTCTGCGGAAATGAATCTCTGTGCTATTTACCCACCAAACAATCTTTGCACACCTTCGTAGGAGTCTTCAGTTGTGGCAAACGATGTACCATCCTCTTGTGTTGGAGAGTTTTTAAGCCTGTGAACCCCAAATGTCCATTTCAACAGTGCCAAAGTTGTGTTGAATCTTCTGTGATTGTGTTGAAGCAAGTAGACTCTTGTGGCTGGGATGCAACAAGCAACATAAACATTTTGTTTGAAGACATCATAGTTTCCATGATCAAGCCATGTTCGGGATGGTAGATCTTCAGCTTCCCACGTTGAATGAGAATTGAAAGCCTATTTCTTATAGCTATCCAATGCTTAATAAATTGTTCTTCAGCTCTTGTACATAAAATACCCAAGTGATAATTTGAACAATCCCATTTACAAGAAGCCTTATGTTGCCTTTTCCCATCACTGTCATACTGAAATTGTTTCCTAGCTTCACAGATTCCCTAAAGTTTGCAGCAAGATCCGAGAAAATTTCTTTTTTTCCATACATGTGATTACTACATCTTGAATCAAGAAACCACACACTTTCACTGCTAGCATTCTAATCATTCACATAGGCCATCAGCAACATCTCCTCATCAGCTTCCACATAGTTAGCCTCCTTCTTTAGCTTAGAACATTCATATTGAAAATGTCCTAGCTTATGATAGTGATAGCACTCCACAGTGGCCTTGTCAAAACTTTGTTTGCCTCGTCCTCTTCCTCTAAAGCTGCCAAGACCTCGACCCCTTCCTCCAGATTGGCTTCCCTAAATGACCTGCAAAGCTTGTTCTTCTTCAACATGAGAGCTCATGTGTTGTTCATGCACAAGCAAGCTGCTTTGCAACTCATCAATGGTGAGGGTATCTATATTCTTAGATTCCTCAACAGAACACACACATAATCAAATTTGAGAGTCAAAGATCTCAAAATTTTCTCAATGATAGCAACATCTCCCAAGGTCTCACCCTTTGTCTTCATCTTATTGGCTATGGTAAGGGTTCGAGCAAAATATTCATTCACAGTTTCTCCTGCCTTTATGTGGAGGATTTCAAACTCCTTCTAGAGAGCTTGCAATTGTGCACGTTTGACTCGTGTGGTACCTTGATATTTTCAAAGAGTCCCAAATACTCTTTGATGTGTCTTTGTTCAGGATAGTCTCTAGAATAGAGCGACCAATTGCTTGAAATAGGTAATTCTTTGCCTTCAGGTCCTTCAATGTTAAATCCTTAATGGCCTTCTTTTGTCCGTCTGTGAACATTACTCATGTGGCTGTGGCAGGAATACCATGCTCCACCAAGTTCCAAAACTCCTTCGAACTCATAAAGTTCTCCCTTAGCATAGCCCTATGTTCATAATGCCCATCAAATTTTGGAATCGCTAGTTGTACAAAGCTGCTGCTTTCTAGCGCCATGGTTGCTAGCATTCCTAGGGATGGCAATGTGTCGAATTGGGGGTGGGTCTGCCATTCCCATCCCTATCCCTGTTAAGTTTTTTTTCCCTATTCTCGCATTCATACCCATAATATTCAAATTAGGGATTTCCCACCATCGCCTTCATTGGGAAACGAGCTCCCTGACCCTCCCCATTACGAAAAATATAATAATAAAAAGTTACTTTGTTAAACGTGAAAAAAGCATTATGAGCACAAGATACGTATCAATTCCATTTTTATTAACTAAAAATCTAGACTATTTAAAAATAATAATACATATGCAAGACATGATCATCATTATAGATGTAGAACCACCATTATACATCTTAATAAAATAAATTACACACACACACACACACACACATATATATA